GCTATTGGGTAGAGCAGGTGTACCCCGTCTTCTAGGTTGGGGTCCAGAAGACTTTGTGACTGTTTGGTTCAGTTTCAGTTTATACAACCATTAACCATACACTTTCGTGTACTGGTTTTGGTTGCCCATTTAGATGAATAATAGGAGAAAGACAGGAAGATTGAAAGTAGAATGGAATAGAAATAGGGGAATTTCATTAGACTAATGTTGCAAAGAAATTGAGAAGATACAATAACGCCAACCATAGCGCTCAGTGTCTCTAACCATTGGTTACGATCATCCCGAGGTCCCCATTCAGGGAGTCTAACGGGACCTCTATGTGATCCAGTCTTCAGGTTTGGGGATTTATACCCCCGTGCCAGGTATTAGCTTGACCACCCTTGAGTTTTTTCCACCCACTCCCGGTCTCGGCAAACACTGCACGCCGTGACATGCATAAAAAGACCCAGCCAAAATAATCTATAGTGCTCGACCACTTGCTGCTGTGGGCGACCGTGATTACCGAAAACTCTACGCCTAACCTCAGTATTGCTCCTCCGGTTGCCCCACCAGATTCGTGTCGTTAGAGACACTGAAGGATATGACAACTAACTGACAGCAGTGGAGCGCTTGTTGACAATTCTTATCGGGTTAGGTTGTGATGACCATAATGGTTCATCTTCTTTTCTGCCATCCAGTTAGGCCCATTCTCTGTCCATCTTGTACCATCTCACTTACAGTGTACAGTGAGAGCTTGACAGGGATCAGCGAAGTTCAATTCCCCCGATGACGATGTTCACTTCTCTATCACGATGGGGATGACCTCCAGCATGGTGTGATCGTGACCAAAATCGATTGACCATGACAATAACTGTAACTAATCAAAGTTTTCCAAATCGATACGGAGTGTATTTTACTGCAGGTCTAAAGACTCTACTCTGCATTCGTCCGACTTCGTTGTTTTATTGGGACGAGTCCGCATACATTTTAGGTTCACATTACTCACTTCGTTCCAGGTCCCACACCATCCGAGATTTTGCGTGATCGCCTATATTTCCGGGCTGTTTTATGCAATATGAGTCCGATTGAATAGAACACGGATAATTTACCACTCTCAGAATGCACTAGTTTCCTTGCATTTGACATCACCCGGACACGACAGCAATGTCAGATCACCTGCTTTGTTATTTGGGCAGCTATACCACTCACCCAGTGGACGCATCACGGATGAAGTGTCAGCTCGCATGCAGAAGGCTCGGTTGGCATTTAATTACTAACCTGAGACATCTATGGCCCCACCGTGACATCCGGCTGTCCGTGAAGGGTCAAGTATACGCCGTGGCAGTTTGGCCAGTTCTGCTACGCGGCGCAGAAATTTAACTATTCAGAAATCAGGACCAAGATGAACTGTCGGTGGTTGAACACCGACAGTCCACGTCGCATTGCACGAATCTAGCGAGGTAACTGAACAGGCAATGCTGAGTTTAGACGAAGAATTTCAGGGATTCGCAGTGGTCCACTGTAGCAAGTGATCGACCTCCGCAGATTACGTTGTTTTGGACATGTGTTACGCATGTCACCAAATAGGTTGCCACGGCGAGCGATGTTTGCCGAGGCAGGTAGTGGGTGGAAGAAAGCCAAG